GAACATCGAGGAGCCATGAATGCAGCAGGATTACTGAACATCATGTGTTGGATTAGTATGAATATGTCTCACCCAGGGGGAGAGGTTACTACCCTTTGTGCTGTCATGAAGGCAAAATCATCAAATTGCCTGTTTAAGGAACACGTTTTCTGAAAAGTGGAGTGACAAGCAATCGATGGAGAGAATTAACTTATCACATTAATGGGGGGTTCGAGACAGGCTAGGGACACATATTAGTGTTTGGAAACAATGGTAAAGTGCATTTAACATAGATAGATACTTTATTAATCTGGAGGGAAATTCAAATTTTGCACAATATGTGACATTTAAAGACAGCTGTTATAGTTTCACATCACATGTACTTTTAAATTTGAAAAGTGTGTTTAAATCCTTTCACCTCACTTAAAGCTCCCGTCGGGAACCTTCGGTTCTCTGGCATCTCCCTGTATCAACTTTGTCTTGTACATGAGTTAGTTGTGTCTTAAAACAAACCCCTATCCTGCTTTCATCTCGTCTACATTGTCTACACACTGAGACGTCTCTTCTTTAAAACACTCACACACATCAATAAAGATCCTGATGCAAATTTAATAATAATCCATGGTCATTTAATTCAGTTCACTCTCCAAACTTGAGCTGCCTCTCCTTCTCTAACCCGTGCAATTCTCTGGCTCGGTTCTTCAGCTCCTCGGCTCTCTTCTCGTCCTTGTCCGTGCCGTCTCCCATTTTGTACATGCGGCTGGCATTGGCACAGCCCCACACATGTCCCAGCTCACAGGCTCTGTTGGCGTACCGCAGAGCCAGATTCATGTCCGGACTCAGGCCTTTAGCGTTTCCATTGATGTAAAGAGCGCTAAGGTTAAAACAGGAGGGGGCGAAACCTCCGGCGCATGCCTTCTCATAGTACTCTCGGGCGGCAGAGAGGTCAGGCTCTCCCTCCATTGCTCTTCCATCGTGAGCTAATAGAGCCACATTATGACAGGCGTCTGTGGACTTCTTCCCTCCAGCTCTGCAGGAACGCAGGAAGCAAGAGTATGCCGTCTTCAGACACTCCGCCACTCCACCTGGTTAGAGGAAACACACATTCACATGAACTACTTTAATACAACACTACGTTACAGATGTTGGTCTTCTCTAAACCTAAAGGTCGGGGGTTCAATCCCCAGCTCTTGCAGCCTCATGTTATAATGTCCTTTGGCAAGACACTGAACCCTGATTGGGTCCCTCTGCTGCGTCAGTGGTGTATGAATGTGATTGGTTAATACTGATGGACATTTTACAAAGCATTCTCTGCTATCAGGGTGTGACTCCTCTGCAGATGCATAAAACAGGGATCACACATAACACCTTTATTAGCCTACTTACACTGGCTTCTGTTCAGTTCAGAATCTCGTGAAAAAGAGGTCTCTGAACTCCGATCACCAGACAGCCCCCAGGCCCCTCACATCATGAGATCATAAGATCATCACATCATCAGATAAAGAAGTCTAACCGTCGATCAAATTAAAAACTTTTCAGAGACAGGGTCTTCTCTGTGGCTGCATCGAGACTTTGAAACAGCCTGGAAGATCGGCTGATTCAATGACTGATCCAAAAGAAAAAATACATGAAGAAGACTCACTTTTATTCTCTTACCTTCTCATATAGTCATTCCTTGCTTGATTCGCATCTTACCTTGTTTGATGAAAGCATTTTTTAAACTTGTTGTAAATCACTTTCACTTTGGTACTAACCCTGTTTGTGAACACTGTTCACACATTTTACTAACCGGACAGAAAAAACATATTTGTCCTAAAGACACTGGCCTTTAGGGTGGCTAATTTATGGTTGTTATTGTTGTTGTGAGTTCACCTGTGTGTGTTTTTACCTTTGCCTGTCACGTGGTACGCTCCAAGCTTGTAGCAGCTCTCTCCGTGTCCGTGTGTTTCACAGTTGTGTTTGAGCACCTGAGCTGAAGACACATAGTTCTTCTTCACACCTTCCAGGTAATCCGCGAGCCTCTGACAGCCTGAGCGGAAACAACGAGTCAAACATGAAACACTCACATGACCCTGTATTAACGTGAGCACGTGCAGCAGGTGAGAGCAGCTCCGTGTTACCTTCAGGGTCCTTCTCTTTGTAACACTGGAAGCTGTACTCCACCCCCAGATTATCCAGAAACTGCTTCACCTCTGCCTCATCCTCAAAGTTTATAAGCCCGGCCATCACTCTGTGTTTCTAGGTCTGATGCAAAGTCACCTGAATATCACCTGAAGGCTCCTCGCACACTCCGCTGCTGTGACCTTGATCGATCCGTCACTCTGCCATGGTTTAAAGTTTACACTACACTAAGTATCGATGCAGGTGATGATTGTACGGTAAAGTCGTCTTAAAACGCGCTAATAATCACAAATTAATCCAATTTCTGCGGACACTGACCGAGTCTGCACCACTCACGCCGCTCGCAGTCTTTTCCTGCTCTCGTAACTGTCCTCAGCGGGTTTCCGTAGACCCGCCCACTCTTGTGATGTACTTCCGGTGTCGTGACCTTTGTTTACTGTGTCAGTCTGGTCGGGCAGAGCTGACAGGTGAGAGCTGACAGATACCTGTCCGAGGAGACGGTCCTTCGCAGTTGCTCAGTTTATTTAAAGATGACGTCAGCGGACACGCTCCGACATCTCTGCGCGCACAGTGACGTCACACCGCGGAGACAACAAGTGAGCTAGCTGCAGGCTAACGTTAGCTGTTTACCGAGTGTGTGTGTGTTCGCTGTCAAACAGGTGAGGCCGACACTCAGGAGAGCGAAGCTACCGACCACACGGCTAACGGGCTAACGAGCTAACCTGTGGAGGAGAAGAGTCCTGAACATTAAACAGAGAGAGAGAGAGAGACGGCGTGCAGGATGTTAAACATGGTTAGCTTCAGTCTGTGTCTACCTGTAACACCTTCATCATCATCAGTCTGTGTCTACCTGTAACATCTTCATCATCATCAGTCTGTGTCTACCTGTAACACCTTCATCATCATCAGTCTGTGTCTACCTGTAACACCTTCATCATCATCAGTCTGTGTCTACCTGTAACACCTTCATCATCATCAGTCTGTGTCTACCTGTAACACCTTCATCATCATCAGTCTGTGTCTACCTGTAACACCTTCATCATCATCAGTCTGTGTCTACCTGTAACACCTTCATCATCATCATCATCAGTCTGTGTCTACCTGTAACACCTTCATCATCATCAGTCTGTGTCTACCTGTAACACTTCATCATCATCAGTCTGTGTCTACCTGTAACACCTTCATCATCATCATCAGTCTGTGTCTACCTGTAACACCTTCATCATCATCATCAGTCTGTGTCTACCTGTAACATCATCATCATCATCAGTCTGTGTCTACCTGTAACATCTTCATCATCATCATCAGTCTGTGTCTACCTGTAACACCTTCATCATCATCAGTCTGTGTCTACCTGTAACATCTTCATCATCATCATCAGTCTGTGTCTACCTGTAACACCTTCATCATCATCATCATCAGTCTGTGTCTACCTGTAACACCTTCATCATCATCAGTCTGTGTCTACCTGTAACACCTTCATCATCAGCATCAGTCTGTGTCTACCTGTAACACCTTCATCATCATCATCAGTCTGTGTCTACCTGTAACACCTTCATCATCATCAGTCTGTGTCTACCTGTAACACCTCATCATCATCAGTCTGTGTCTACCTGTAACACCTTCATCATCATCATCAGTCTGTGTCTACCTGTAACACCGTCATCATCATCAGTCTGTGTCTACCTGTAACATCTTCATCATCAGTCTGTGTCTACCTGTAACACCTTCATCATCATCAGTCTGTGTCTACCTGTAACACCTTCATCATCATCAGTCTGTGTCTACCTGTAACATCTTCATCATCATCAGTCTGTGTCTACCTGTAACACCTTCATCATCATCATCAGTCTGTGTCTACCTGTAACACCTTCCATCATCATCAGTCTGTGTCTACCTGTAACACCTTCATCATCATCAGTCTGTGTCTACCTGTAACATTTCATCATCATCAGTCTGTGTCTACCTGTAACATTTCATCATCATCATCAGTCTGTGTCTACCTGTAACACCTTCATCATCATCAGTCTGTGTCTACCTGTAACATCTTCATCATCATCAGTCTGTGTCTACCTGTAACACCTTCATCATCATCATCAGTCTGTGTCTACCTGTAACACCTTCATCATCATCATCAGTCTGTGTCTACCTGTAACACCTTCATCATCATCAGTCTGTGTCTACCTGTAACACCGTCATCATCATCAGTCTGTGTCTACCTGTAACACCTTCATCATCATCATCAGTCTGTGTCTACCTGTAACACCTTCATCAGTCTGTGTCTACCTGTAACACCTTCATCATCATCATCAGTCTGTGTCTACCTGTAACACCTTCATCATCATCAGTCTGTGTCTACCTGTAACACCTTCATCATCATCAGCCTGTGTCTACCTGTAACACCTTCATCATCATCATCATCAGTCTGTGTCTACCTGTAACACCTTCATCATCATCATCAGTCTGTGTCTACCTGTAACACCTTCATCATCATCATCAGTCTGTGTCTACCTGTAACACCTTCATCATCATCATCAGTCTGTGTCTACCTGTAACACCTTCATCATCATCAGTCTGTGTCTACCTGTAACACCGTCATCATCATCAGTCTGTGTCTACCTGTAACACCTTCATCATCATCATCAGTCTGTGTCTACCTGTAACACTCATCATCATCAGTCTGTGTCTACCTGTAACATCTTCATCATCAGTCTGTGTCTACCTGTAACACTTCATCATCATCAGTCTGTGTCTACCTGTAACATCTTCATCATCATCAGTCTGTGTCTACCTGTAACACCTTCATCATCATCATCATCATCAGTCTGTGTCTACCTGTAACACCTTCATCATCATCATCAGTCTGTGTCTACCTGTAACACCTTCATCATCATCAGTCTGTGTCTACCTGTAACACCTTCATCATCATCATCAGTCTGTGTCTACCTGTAACACCTTCATCATCATCATCAGTCTGTGTCTACCTGTAACACCTTCATCATCATCAGTCTGTGTCTACCTGTAACACCTTCATCATCATCATCAGTCTGTGTCTACCTGTAACATCTTCATCATCATCAGTCTGTGTCTACCTGTAACATCTTCATCATCAGTCTGTGTCTACCTGTAACACCTTCATCATCATCATCAGTCTGTGTCTACCTGTAACATCTTCATCATCATCAGTCTGTGTCTACCTGTAACACCTTCATCATCATCATCATCCGTCTGTGTCTACCTGTAACATCTTCATCATCATCAGTCTGTGTCTACCTGTAACACCTTCATCATCATCATCAGTCTGTGTCTACCTGTAACATCTTCATCATCATCATCAGTCTGTGTCTACCTGTAACATCTTCATCATCATCAGTCTGTGTCTACCTGTAACACCTTCATCATCATCATCAGTCTGTGTCTACCTGTAACACCTTCATCATCATCATCAGTCTGTGTCTACCTGTAACATCTTCATCATCATCAGTCTGTGTCTACCTGTAACATCTTCATCATCATCAGTCTGTGTCTACCTGTAACACCTTCATCATCATCAGTCTGTGTCTACCTGTAACATCTTCATCATCATCAGTCTGTGTCTACCTGTAACACCGTCATCATCATCAGTCTGTGTCTACCTGTAACACCTTCATCATCATCAGTCTGTGTCTACCTGTAACACCTTCATCATCATCATCAGTCTGTGTCTACCTGTAACATCTTCATCATCATCAGTCTGTGTCTACCTGTAACACCTTCATCATCATCATCAGTCTGTGTCTACCTGTAACACCTTCATCATCATCATCAGTCTGTGTCTACCTGTAACATCTTCATCATCATCAGTCTGTGTCTACCTGTAACACCTTCATCATCATCATCAGTCTGTGTCTACCTGTAACATCTTCATCATCATCATCAGTCTGTGTCTACCTGTAACATCTTCATCATCATCAGTCTGTGTCTACCTGTAGCACCTTCATCATCATCAGTCTGTGTCTACCTGTAACATCTTCATCATCATCAGTCTGTGTCTACCTGTAACACCTTCATCATCATCATCAGTCTGTGTCTACCTGTAACATCATCATCATCAGTCTGTGTCTACCTGTAACACCTTCATCATCATCATCAGTCTGTGTCTACCTGTAACACCTTCATCATCATCATCAGTCTGTGTCTACCTGTAACATCTTCATCATCATCAGTCTGTGTCTACCTGTAACATCTTCATCATCATCAGTCTGTGTCTACCTGTAACACCTTCATAATCATCAGTCTGTGTCTACCTGTAACATCTTCATCATCATCAGTCTGTGTCTACCTGTAACACCGTCATCAATCTCATCAGTCTGTGTCTACCTGTAACATCTTCATCATCATCAGTCTGTGTCTACCTGTAACACCTTCATCATCATCATCAGTCTGTGTCTACCTGTAACACCTTCATCATCAGCATCAGTCTGTGTCTACCTGTAACATCTTCATCATCATCAGTCTGTGTCTACCTGTAACACCTTCATCATCATCAGTCTGTGTCTACCTGTAACACCTTCATCATCATCAGTCTGTGTCTACCTGTAACACCTTCATCATCAGCATCAGTCTGTGTCTACCTGTAACATCTTCATCATCATCAGTCTGTGTCTACCTGTAACACCGTCATCAATCTCATCAGTCTGTGTCTACCTGTAACATCTTCATCATCATCAGTCTGTGTCTACCTGTAACATCTTCATCATCATCAGTCTGTGTCTACCTGTAACACCTTCATCATCATCATCAGTCTGTGTCTACCTGTAACACCTTCATCATCATCAGTCTGTGTCTACCTGTAACATCTTCATCATCATCATCAGTCTGTGTCTACCTGTAACACCTTCATCATCATCATCAGTCTGTGTCTACCTGTAACATCTTCATCATCATCATCAGTCTGTGTCTACCTGTAACACCGTCATCATCATCAGTCTGTGTCTACCTGTAACACCTTCATCAGTCTGTTTATACCTGTAACACCTTCATCATCTTCATCAGTCTGTTTATACCTGTAACATCTTCATCATCATCATCAGTCTGTGTCTACCTGTAACACCTTCATCATCATCATCAGTCTGTGTCTACCTGTAAATCTTCATCATCATCATCAGTCTGTGTCTACCTGTAACACCGTCATCATCATCAGTCTGTGTCTACCTGTAACACCTTCATCAGTCTGTTTATACCTGTAACACCTTCATCATCTTCATCAGTCTGTTTATACCTGTAACACCTTCATCATCTTCATCAGTCTGTTTATACCTGCATGTTATTATTGTCATGTTCATGTTATTTTCTGCATGTTGTTATTTAATTATTGTGTACATTATTTCAGACTAGGGTCGTCATGATACCAGAATTTAAAACTTTGAAATGATACGAATTAAAATCAAACAA